CCTCAAGGACTGAGACTGGCTGGTTTTCCACAGTCCCCTCAACAGGGATTCAGGTGTGAGGACAATCTGACCAATCAGCAGGGCTAATTGTTCAGTTAATTACCTGGGAGGAACTGAAAATAGGTCAGGCGCATTTTATAGCCAGATTTGTGGATCCCTGTCCAACGACTCCACCATGCATTTTCCAGCTGGTTGATGACTCAAACGAGAACAGGCTTTCACGGTGGAGCGGGGGTGGGGGAAATACCCCCTGAAGCACAAACAGGCCGTCATCTCAGTTTGAGGTCATTTCAGTCTTCTGCTACTTCCTCCTATTTTACTACACTTCAGAGTAATTCAGGTCACAAGCGTTCACACCCCCACGCGAGTTTAAGGAATGGCAAAACCACAGTTTATCACTAAAGTTCGATACCTCATATTAAGAACCAGCGACAGCGCCTGTCCTGACCATAAGGGCAAAAAACTGCAAGATATGAAAAATGAGGAACGAGCTTTTTCGAGGTCACCGATAATCAACAAAGCAGGGAATGTGGCGATGGTGCGCAAAGCGTTCAGTAACAGGAGGGAGATATTTTTTCCCCTCTTTTTCTTGCGGGAGCTATTTGTTTTCACCATAATGTAATTCCCTCCATTTGCAGACAGTGGGATGCAGACCCCCATTCTCCCTTTAATAAGCTTATCACAGCCAGTCAGCAGACTCCTCTCGGAGACTCACCACGAGCCTCTGGCATCGCTGAGATCCTTTGGGGTAATTAAGCGCTCACAGAAACCATACCATACGTCTCTTTTTCCTCTCTAAATCTGCGTCTCTCTCTCTCTCTCTCTTCCTAACTCGGTCTCTTATTTGCAGACTCTGGCTCCTATATAACTGTCTCGTTTGTTCTCCTGTTTCTCCTTCTCTGAATCGCCGGCCATGTTCGCATCATTTGGTGTATTTGTCTCCATCTTTCGTTTTCTTCACCGTTAATAAAATGCGAGCTAAGTTAACTCTGTGCTGACAGATGTTGGGACAAGCATACCAGGGGAGAAAGTAAGTTGTTGCACTGTCCAGATTTTAACAGAAACTGTTCAGTAATCTTGGTGGAATTTGAGTGATCGCCAACACAATAAAAAATAGATAAATAAAAAAAAAATACCGGATGTTGCAATCAAGCCGCATTTCCGATGCTTTATGGGATAGTTTGGTGGCTAAGTCGCTTCCGGTGTCGCGCAGCTTCGGGGGAAGAGTTGCGTTAGCATGCATGGTTACGGATACTTGGCCATACGATACCGAGCATAGAAGCCTCATTAATTCTTCATGCATCCAGTGTTTTTTTGGGCTTTATTTTAGCCTTGATACAATTAGCAGTTTCTCAAGTATAGCTGAATTGTGCTGTCCTGCAGCTACGTAGGCTGCGCACCAGAAGTGTGGCAGTCCCAGAAGTGTAAGAAATTTAGGCAAAAAAACGACCTCCGGATATTATTTTGTATTGGCGATCGCTCGAATACTCCTGCAAGAAGACAAGGCTAATAGTGAGACTGAATTAGATCAGGGGACCACTTCAATTCAAAAGCATGATCTCCATCTCTGAAAAATGAAGGCTGACAATGCACAGCAGTACGTCATAGAGATAGAAAAAAACTATTGGTGAAAAAGCGTTAATACTAAAAATTCCATTGAGTTGGGATGAAATGGGTTCTGTGAGAGTAAAATGCATCCCCATTTGTTTTGTGGAAGCACAATCAAACAGCAGCTGTGCAGGCACGCGAATGCAGATGGAGCGCTTCCTACAGATGGCGAAATCCTGAAACGAGCATAGCTCCGCTATAGCAACTTGTGCTTTAGCCTCAGTTACCTTCCCGCAAACGTAAATGTCCTTGAGGCTTAACGATGCACATCCGTCAGGCATTAAGGCATGTCAGGATAACTACACCAACAGAGAACAAGAAACTTCACGCAGGGACTGAAGACTCGGCGCCACCTGTGGCCTGCCCGTGAGCTGCGTCCATTACTACACCACACTGGGGGCTTGTAGTACAGCACAATTTCACTGTGATATCCAGATAACTGCACAGAGTAAAACCCAAAACAGCTTTCTTCACTTCAGTCCATATTCAACATTTATGAGGTTTCAGGGTTTACGCAGAGGTAGAACCTGACTCAAAAATCCTGCTTTTAGAATTACCTCCGGAAAATTCTGTGCCAAGAATTCTGGGAACTTGACAAATAATCAGCAGGCTATGAGTTTGATTCTTAGCTATTCTCACACATCATATTCCAGCCTTACTTCGAGCAGCATTTATTGAACACAATGAGGTTTTCTAGGTATTCTTGAGGAAAATAGCTGCTGTATATCATCCCAAAGGGGTTACACATTTATCATGACGAGGTGATTTCCCTAAATTACCTCTCATGCCCTTTGATGTGAACTGAACAGTGCAATATGAATAGTATTATTATTATTATTATTATTATATGAGCATTTTACATACCATGATAATTTTTCCAAGTTAAAAGACTAAGAAATCAAAACCTAAGAATCTATAAAATGCATAAAGGCCATTTTTCACAGACTAAGAGGTTAATCCTTGAACAAATTATATTTTTAATTGAGATTCTCCAAAGGAAAAACTCAATTTAATCTCAGGCTAAGCTTAATCTGCACCTGTGAGACCTGACCAAAAAGTTCCTGACTCATAAAGAGCCCAAGCACTCAATAACTCCAAGAAAATCGTATTAAACGAGTGTTACATCGCCGGAACCGCAAACGATACAGTATTTTTGAGATATTTTTAAACCGCTGGTACGGTTTATCACTGTGATTCAAGCAGAACACACCTGCCAGGCTGCCAGGTCTCTGGAGGGTAGCGTTAGCATACAAGTCGTGGGAGATCTTGTATTGTTCGGAGGAGTGCACCAGGCGTTTGGTGGGCGACAGGGTGGCGTAGCTGCCCACGGCTGAGCTCATCTGGTGCAGCGGAGAGGAGGTGACGCAGGCGGGCGGCGACGAGCCCGAGGACGCCCCCATGTTGATGGGCGAGCTGGTGCTGTAGGACTTGGCCAGCCGGCCAGGCGACTGCTTCGGTGAGGAGGACGACACGCGGCCCAGCGTGGCGTAGCCGGGGGCGTCGGAGGCGGAGCCCAGCCGGTGAAGTTTGGTGGGCGAGCCGGACGCCTGCAGCGACAGGGGGGAGCTGACGCGCTGCGCGGGCAGGGTGGCGCAGGAGTAGTACGGTGTGGAGGAGGTGGGCTGCGTGTCCGGCATGTGGAAGGCGCTGCTGTGGCTGGGAGCGAACGAATCACGGGACTGCCCGTCGGCCCCACCCCCGCTCCCGCCCCCTCCGCTGCCACTGGCCAGCTGAGCTGCTCTGTTAGACGTCACCTAGGAAACAAGAGTGAGAGGGTTATGAGGTGAAACTGAGCCTGTATGTAGACCTAATTTGGTAAATGAACAGGCTCATTCACCCTACAAAGCTTATGGGTGGAAAGACTTATGGCAAGACTTATACTTTAGGACTAAGACTAAAGTTATACTTTAAGACTTATACTTTCTCCCCACCGTTTGGAGGGATGCTGGGTAGAACTGCCCGACCTTCACTGTAAAAATACTAAATGTGTTTTTCATATCATAGAAATGACTACACTGGAGAAAATTCTTCTGATATTTCTCCACATTCCTGAATAAACTAAGCTGAGAGATGAATATAAAATGCTTGCCAACATACAAAATATTTCAGTACATTTCTATTGAATAAAAAATGCATAGGTCCCTAGAACGGTTTGATGTGTTGAATACCTCAGGAGTGAATGCAGCCTGAATGCAGAAGAATGTACAGTAATGTTTGCTGTTCATGTAGCAGGCCAGCCCAGCACAGATAATGCGAGGACAGCAGACAGCAGGAGTTATTCTGGAGGAAATGACTCAGATTCAACAATATAAAGCAAATGAAAGAAAACAGAAATAAATAGTTCAATAAAAAGCTTACATTTATGTACATGGGATTTTTCCCAAGGGGGTTGTTTCCATGAAAATACGTTTCTGGCAAAATGAATGCGAAGACTCCACAATACTGTAGAGGTCAACGTGGTTTTGTTTTTCTCTGTTCAATTTTAATACAGTATCTGGGTCAGATTATATTTTTTTTTTTTTGCTGCAGGAGGGTTGTGGATTGTTTTGTTGCTTTATTGGGATGAGGAGTGTTTTTGAGAAACGTAAACATTTCCAGGCTGTGGTGATCTTCAGCTTAATGCGTCCTAATTATAAAAATACATGTTTTGTTTCAAGCTTCCCTAAGGTGCGGTGCTTCTCAAGACTGTTAAATTCTCACAGTCTCAGCTAAAACTGTAACCAGTAAAAAAGGAAAGAGAGGACTGCATTATTCCCTTATAAGCTGGTGAAAGTACGCATAAACACACACACACACACACATACACATTCCCATATGTCACACACGCGCAGCAAACACAACCACATTAATCCATTTAACTACCTGAAGGTATTAAACTGCAATTCCTAATTAAAACAAATTCAATATAGTGTGCCTTCAAAAATGAAAACATAGCCCATGCATTATTTTTTTGCAAATTCACATTAAAGAAGTCCCTGAAACTAAATCTCCCTCATTATAAATGAAATTATGCATTCAATGAAAACACATTGATCACTTGCCAGCTACAAAAAAAAATTTGAAGCCAGCATGCGTTTTTAAATGAGGCCTACATGGCCATTCAGCAACACATTCGTACAATCGTGTGCATTTTTGACTAAATATGGGCGCCTACATGGGTGCGCATCCATTAGTGCGTCTGCACGAGTGTGTTTCGACAGATGGAAGACGGGAGTACCATCTACTCATATGGTTGGTGGTTGGATACTGTATTGAGGAATGCCAACTGTTGAATTATTTACAAGCACATCTTACCTACACACAGGGTCTTTGAATTGATATTCTTCACATTCAATGTGGCGAGTTGTCATGTGCATTGAGGTTGAGATCAAACTCACTAACCACTCCCAACTGGATTTGGTAGCTTAGTTGGTAGAGCGGTGGGATAGAATCCCAAAGCCGTGAGTTCGATCCTCACTCGTGTTCAGAATTTTCTGACCTGGTCTTGAGCAGTGTAGATATAGATTGTCTATCTAAAAACGCTCATTAATAAATTACAGCTGACATTGCTACAACATAACCCAATGATACATCAAAACGTACATGAAGCAAAAAAAAAAAAAAAAAAAACCTAAATGTACCAATCCATCTCACAACCTATGAAAGATAAAGTTAGGTAAACCTGGAGATTAATTTAACAATGGAAATTCTCTCAATAATAACTAAATTGAAGCAGATGGACACTCTACAGAGTGCAGACCTCCGCCTGAACCCTCTTATTTGACCTTTTCTGCAATATTGACCTTAATCTTTTCCCTTCACCTCTGACATCTCATATCCTCTAACTGTTCTCATACATAACCTTTCCACAAAATTTCCTCAAAACCATTCCAAAGGAATAATGCATCCGGTAATCGTGACTCCATGAGGAAACATTCATGTGTCTGTATTACCACCTACTCTCCTCTCAGTAAAGATATTAAGGATATTATTAGGAAACATTGGAGTGTTTTACCTGTTGATCCTGTTTGCAACATACTATTCTCTGATCCACCTCTCTTCTCTCATTATAGAGCAAGAAATGTAAGAGACTACCTTGTACGTGCTGATACTGCTGTCCAACCCACCCTTGTCCAGAGACGCTTGGATGGGATGTTTGGCTTCTTCCCCTGTAACAACTGTGCGGCATGTAAGCATTCATAGGGAACAAGTACTTTTACTAGCCATGCTACCTCTACGACATATGACATCAGGCAATGTCTTACATGTACATCTATTGGGGTTATTTACCTCCTATCATGCCCTTGTGGGCTGCAGTATATAGGTAAGACCATCAGGTCTGCTAAGACACGTGTCATTGAACACAAGAGCGCAATTCGTAGGAAAGACATTCAGTCATCTGTTGCTGGACATTTTCATGAAGCCAAGCATCCTGCATCAAAGCTCTCATTTTGTGTCATACAGCAATTCTCCAAAACACGTAGAGGGGGCGATGTTAATCAGAGACTACTGAAATCAGAATGCAAATGGATCTATTATATGAAAACTTTACATTAAGAGGGTCTCAATGAAGAATTGTCTCTCTCATGCTTTTTGTAACACACACACTCTCCCTCTCTCTCAGGGGCTCTACTCTAGAGTTACTCTTGTTGGATTTATCATTGAGGATTGTGGAGCTCGATTTGTATGGGTGTATATATTTTTATGTAGATGTATATTTATTGATGTGTAAAGCGTATGTTACAGATTTGTGGTCTGTGCATGTGGTTATTTTCAGCAGGGAATGGTTCTCAACATGTTATTGCATATTATGATTTGGCCAGTGGCCTAATTGATTTTCTGTTTGACTGTTGATTGATTAATGATTGACACCTGCTGCTATGGACTGCTGCCACTGTGTGCTGCCTGTTTAAGCATTGTAGAAACACCAGCTGGCAGGGCTGAGGATAGCTGCTTAAGCCAAAACGTTTCTTTTTGTTTGAGCACTTTCTGTTTCTATCATTTTTTCACATGGGTTAATTACAGCCTTTTTTTGCATTTTTGTGTCTCTTCCTTTTGTTTAGCAGTGTGCGGGCTACCTTTTCCATTTTGCTCAAAACCATTCCAGAAATTTTTCTGTAATAGTGCTTTCAAATGGTCAGGCAGACAGACAGACAGACAGACATACAAACGGGGGTGAAAACATAGCCTCCGTCCGACTTCGATGGCAGAGATGAAGTACAGCAAGCAGTGCAGATATTCCACGCACACACAAGCACAAACACACACACACGCACACGCGCGCACGCACACACACACACACACACACACACAAACACAATAAAACACTAGGCAGACATTCATTGATGCAAGCTGAATTGCTGGAATACTGAACAGCATCTGACAGCCAAACTCAAATAAACCAATAAAGTCCTGGTCTGTTAGATTTATGAGCAGCCTATCTCTATACTGCACACTGATAAATGAAACCTCTCGCTATGATTCGCTTATTTACCCGTGAAAAATATTCAGATTTTCTGTCTCTCTTTTCCTATCACTCACCTGGTGTCCCTCTTTCTCTCATTCCTATGAGTATCCTTTCAACTCCTCCTCTCTCCAACTCATTCTGCTCTGAGCTCTCTCTCTCTCATTCTGCTCTGAGCTCTCTCTCTCTCTCTCTCTCTCACTCTCTCTCCAGCCTGTCCTCCTCCTGGTTATCTCTCTCTTTCTCAGAGGAGTTCCCACAAACCCCACGCCCTCTCTCTGCCTCCCTCCTTCCCTCTCTCTTCTTCCCTTTCTCTTTACATGCCCTTCCCTCATAGTCATTCCCCCTCTCCCCTGTCTATCCCTCCCTTACACTCCTCCCCCTCTCCCCTCTCTCTCCCTCCCTTACTCTCCTCCCCCTCTCCCCTCTCTCCCTCCCTTACTCTCCTCCCCCCCTCTCCCCTCTCTTCCTCCCTTCCTCTCCTCCCCTCTCCTCTGTCACTCCCTCCCTTACTCTCCTCCCCCTCTCCCCTCTCTCCCTCCTTTCCTCTCCTCCCCTCTCCCCTCTCTCCCTCCCTTACTCTCCTCCCCTCTTCTCCCGTCTTTCCCTCCATTCCTCTCCTCCCTCTCACCCGTCTCTCCCTCCCTTCCTCTCCCCTGTGTCTCCCTCCCTTCATCTCCTCCCCCTCTCCCCTCTCTCTCCCTCCTTACTCTCCTCCCCTCTTCTCCCCTGTCTCTCCCTCCCTTCATCTCCTCCCCCTCTCCCCTCTGTCTCCCTCCCCTTCTCTCCTTCACTCTCACTCCCTGCCTCCTTCCTGTGCTCCCCTGTTGACGCTAGGCTTGAACTTTTACAGTCATTCACAAGGAGAAGAAACAGCAAACGTCTCGGACATCAGACTTCAGAAACACTGAGCTCTCCTGGTTGTAGCGAAGGCCGCATCAGAAAGCCTGAAGCACACCTGGTGGTAGCTGGAGCTAAATGTGAGGCCTCAGACTCACCTGGTTGCACACTCTCAGAAAGAAAAAGTACCCGTTTGTACCTTTAGGGGTAAAAGGCTTGTCACTGGGGCGGTACCCCCAAAGGTACTGCTGTTGTACCCTCAGAAGTGGGTACTTATTTGCTTTGGAACATAAATGTACCTTTTAGGTCCTAAAAAGGTTCACACAGGTGCCTTGAGGTCCTATAATTAGTCCTAGGGGATACATGAGTGTTGAATGTACCTTAGGGAACAAAAATAGACTCCTGCTGTACCCCTATTTCTGACAGGGTAGCCGAAGCTACATTAGATACGTCAGACTCACCTGGTTGTAGCTGTGGACGGCACCTCCAGCCTGGCTGCTGCGCGCTGGGGCCTGTGAGGTGGACGAGTCGCTCATTGCCAGGGTCTGGCTGCTGTGGTAGCTGGCCGTGTAGGGGAAAGACCCCTCCGGGTTGGAGTTGAGTTGCAGTGCACTCTGGGATAGCAGGTTTGGCCCTGCATTGAGAGAGAGAGGGCAAAGGCAGAGCAGAGAGTGTGTGTTTCATGCATGAGATTAGAAGCAGAGAGCTCAGGAGCATTTGCGTGTTGCTCTAATGAGGCTGGCAACGAAGGCAAAAGCTTCTTTCTATCACTCACTATCCCCAAGAAAGTTTCCATTTGTCATCAGCCCCTTCTCCTCACTTACCCCATTCCAAAGTGAGAATTAACACCACTTATCACTCAGGGAAAGCATTTCACTATTGGTTCACACGCTCGGAATGGTTTCCCCGCTGTGGAGTGCGCAAGCCCAGCGATGGTCGCCCTCATCAAAGCACTCAATTAATTCACACTGCAGTGCACTCCCACTTAAAGGGCACCTAGTGCTGCTCTCGGAAAATGGGCACCTAATTAAATACTGACATTGAGTCTTTTAAACATCACTGGCTGTAAAACTCCAATAAACCCCAGTGAAAGAGCATGGTTGCACATACCACACACACACACACGAGCCATAAAATATGAGGACCAAACATCTGAGGTTTCACAAAGAACTTACCGTTTCATTATCGACCAAGAGCATGTACTATTAAAATGCTCTAAGTTCTTTTTTTTTTTTTTAACATTATTTAGCGACATAGAAAATGTGTAAACATTTACTCTGGGTAAAAAAAGTTGTTAGGACTGGGCATGACCATCTTTTTTCTTGATTAGCAGCTTTGCAGTTTAACTCTGTCACATGGTGCACAGTGGTTTGTGCAGCTGACTCATAGCAAGAAGGTTGGTGCATGGTCCCCGTGATGGACTGTCTAGTGTGTGTACCTGCCTCTCCCCCACTGCATGCTGGGATAGGCTCCAGCGACCCAGTCCAGTAATAGCTGCATTATATGATGGATAAATGGATGGATTTTCTCAGCTCTTCCCATAAATGGGATTACTTAACACTTTCCCTGCTGTATTTCATATTTTTTTTTAAGCTGGCAGCCATAATATTTAGTGGTCTTTCAATACCTGTTTTTGTTGGACGATCTGTAACGGCTCTCGCTACCGTATAACAGTGACAATGTTTATTGCCGTAATACTAATGCACTTTTTCAACAGAGTGTAAAATTAGGAAAATTAGATGTAGAATCCCTTTTTCATCCATCACCATTAAGAAGGAAAAGAATTCAAACTCAAAACAGGCAGGTGCTAATTGGCTTTCACAAGTGAGCTACTGGGGTACAAAGAATACATTGACAGTTAAAAATGCATTTAGCGACATAATGGCAATTATTTAAAATCTGAGAAACTGCAACAAACTGTCCAGAAAGAGAAAGCACAGGACGCAAGACAGTTCAGTCACCACAGATGGTGAGGATAATGACAGGTTAGGCAATAAAAAACCTGAGGATCATGGTTCAAGAAATGTAGTGATTAGCTGCATCTTGGGGTCATCAAATCTAAAAACACAACTGAAACAGCAACAAGAGAAACGTAAGTTAGCAAGTAGCAAATGTACTAAACTCACGCGGTCACCCGGTCAAAATGAGAGTGAAACAAAAAAATGTTTGAAGAAACGAGTGTA